GCCTTCTATTCCCTTAAACTGTCTACATACGTTCCTTAAATTGTGGCAACATTGTAAACATCTGTTAAATCATATTTATTGAGCAAACCTATTTCTCATTAGGCGATTAGTTACTATAGTAACTAGCTGTAGTTACTATAGTTACAGTAGTTCAAGCACGGGATTTTCATAATAATAATCTCAGGACAATTCACACAGCGCCATCTAGACCCAAGTTAAGCTAGCTAAAGCTTGTGTTATTGGTACTAATACATACATATTATACATAGAAAACACATAGACCGATACAAACAATCATACTCATGAATACAAATGTTTTTGCCGTGTGAGGAATCGAACACGTGACCATCGGAAGTAAGGCAGTGTGACAAAAAATTAAGTAATCGTTTAGTGAGTATTAGGATTTGCACAGTAAATTTTATTATTCTCGCAGATACTTTGCCAAACACGAGGAAACCTTTGGATCACTTATTAAACAAGTGATCCAAAGGTTTCCTTCTGAAGGCGACATTGTTACCGATTTAGGAGCGTATATAGACCGTTCTTAGTGAGTGTTCTAAATTTTAACATCAATTTTTTATTAATCAAGTGATTCCTTCTAAAGGCGACAACACTACCAATTTTAGGACCGCGTGTATACGGTGTTAGTGAGCCTTCTAAATTTTAACACCGACTTTTTTATTAATCAAGTGATTCCTTCTAAAGGCAACATCACTACCGATTTTAGGACCGCGTGTATACGGTGTTAGTGAGCCTTCTAAATTTTAACACCGATTTTTTTATTAATCAAAAGATTCCTTCTAAAGGCGACATCAGTACCGATTTTAGGACCGTATGTAGACGGTCTTAGAGAGCGTTCTAAATTTTAACCCCGATTTTTTTATTAATCAAGTGATTCCTTCTAAAGGCGACATCACTACCGATTTTAGGACCGCGTGTATACGGTGTTAGTGAGCCTTCTAAATTTTAACACCGATTTTTTTATTAATCAAGTGATTCCTTCTAAAGGCGACATCAGTACCGATTTTAGGACCGTATGTAGACGGTCTTAGAGAGCGTTCTAAATTTTAACCCCGATTTTTTTATTCCCGACGGAGCGGCCACGGTCCGTCCAAATACAATTTACTGGCCGTTGCGCTCCGCAATATTGGTCAAAAACAGGGCTTTCAAAAACCGGAAATTTTCAATCCTAATACACTGGTACTTGTGATCGGTTTTCAAAAGACATTTACAATATTTTTGAATGTTTTCTTTGTATAGTTCGTACATGTTTACCAACATACTAAACATTCATTCTTGTATGTTTTGTATGTTGATAAACATATTGGTAAGTTGGTATAATTGCGTAAGAATCTTTTAATTCCTAAACTTAAAAAAAAACTAACAAAATGTACCTGTTCTGGTTAAAAATAGACTTACACAATGTGAACTTACTAGGATTATTTAAAAGAGCAACACACAAATTTCTTGCCGTTATTCTTGTGATGTGAAAACTTTCCGAAAGATAAAAAAAAATGTTATGACTATTCAAAAGTGCTTAAATTAAGCTTATTTGAATAAATGATTTTCTATTCTATTCTATTAACTTGGGTCTAGATGGCGCTGTGTAAATTATTCTGAGATTATTATCTAAATAACTCAAAGGTGACTGACTCACATAGTGATCTATCAACGCACAGCCCAAACTACTGGACGGATCGGGCTGAAATTTGGCATGCAGGTAGATGTTATAACATCAACATTCAACAATAATATAATTCTACCCCCAATTCTATAATAGGGTATGAAACTTTGTCAATTCTAAACCATGCATGAGACTATGCATGCATAAAGCTATGACGTAGGCATCCTCTAAGACAGAATTTTGATAAACTCCACCCCTAAGGGGATCAATTAACGCGAGCGAAGCCGCGGGCAATAACTAGACTCTTTTATAAATTAAATGTGAATATGCACAAAGAATGTGTTCGCGTAATAGTCTATGCGAAAATAGCATCCGTTCACCGAGTGGCCGTTATTTTTAGTACTGCTGCTTTCAGACTGTTTTGTTTGTTACAGTCTATTCGTGTTTCTCTTAATTAATCTATGTAATTACTTCCTCTGCGGGTTTCTCTGTTTAGAAGTTATACTGTGGCATGTTAAGAATTTTTACCGGGTTACACTTTGTGTAAAGTCTGTCGTAATTCTGTGTCATTTATTTCTATTTTGAATGAAACGGTGCACTTGCAGTAACGATCTACGCTGGCGGGGCACCAGTGGAGGATGATAAGATGGGCATAAGATCAGTTCAGTTAACCGTGTGGAGGTCAACCTGACATGGTACATTACTAGCTCTAAGATCATCAATCCACATTACTAACAATGATGAACGAATTTTAATGAAACTTTACAATAATGCCGCATGGTGTTGAGTCCGCCAAAGGTACTTTACTATATTTTCTTATTATGTGCATTAAAGTTAAATAATAAAAAAAAAAGTAGTTTATACATCAGAATAGCACTAAAGATAGATATCTATATATCTTTAGATAGATAGATAAATTCTTTATTCAACAATTACAAAACATACATGAGATACAGAAAAAATACATTAATTAAATAATAATCTCAGGACGATTCACACAGCGCCATCTAGACCCAAGTTAAGCTAGCTTTTTTTTTTTATTTTATTATTAAATACAATTTTCCACAGACATATTCGTCCGTGCCTTTTTTTAATTTACTTTAATATTATTATATTTCTTTAATTTCCACTTTTGTACAACTCCAGCCGAGATGTTACAATTTGCCTAACAGTGGCACCGAGGCAGACCTTATCCGTCTGGCCCAGAACCACCACTGGCCGGCCGGGTTAGTTGACAACATGTAGTGTCCTATCTTTATTAGGAGCCAGTTACATTTACCAATATGCATATACAATTATATAAATCCTACACTACTACTAATTTCACAGTTTTCATAGTTAAGCTAGCTAAAGCTTGTGTTATGGGTACTAGATAACTGATACAAATACATAGATAATTTTTTTTCGTAAATACATACATATTATACATAGAAAATACTCAGACCGATACAAACAATCATACTCATGAATACAAATGTTTGTGCCGTGCGAGGAATCGAACCCGCGACCATCGGATGTAAAGCGGTATTCTAGACCGCTAGACCACCGAGGTCGTCAATTTGAGTTAAAATTCCAATTTGAATTAAAGAAATGTTGATTTCTTTATGTGCCGCAAAGGTTTAAAGGTTATAAATTTATTATGGGTGAAGCCGCAGGCACAGTTAGTTTACAAACCAGTTAACCGCTCGGCTGCTCTCAAGCGCCGCTATATATAAACCCAAGTCAGTTTATACCTTAATGATAGTTTACTAATAAGATTAATATTATTATTAGATTTAGACGCACTATAAACAGATATTACGGACAGACGGATATCATGTTGGGGATTAAACGTGTTAGTTCAGTACAAAACGTTGAACACATTGATAGAGTTAATGAGACAGAGCAACAAAAACTCAAGAGGGAGCATTAAGTAGTTATAATAGACGTAAAGTGTAAAAATATGGCACGTGTATACTTGTTAATTTTAGGTAACTTGTATATATAATGTAATGTGTCACGTCCTGTTGGTTCTGCGGATTAACCTCTCGAAGATAACACACAAGTTTCAGTAGGTTTAACATAGTTCTTCTTGTGATGAGACTTTTAATTTACGATGTTAAACACGATCACAAGTGGTAGATAAAAAACAAATTGTAATAGACTATTCAAAAGTGCAGATTTAAATTAAGTTTATTTGAATAAATGATTTTCTATTCTATTGCTATTCTATTCTATTCTCATTCGGGCCGTTGTGCGTGTAGAGCCAGACTACTAACGTAGCCAGCCAAGCTCTTCTCAGAAGTGGAGAAGACTTCTGGTGTCTTCACAGGCTTCGCGGAGTGACCTCACCGTTCCGAGGATTTGTGTTCGTTGTGTAGCCACTGCTGTGGATTCTAGATAATTTTAAATAAGATATGAGAGAGAGAGCAACAAAAATTCAAGAGGGAGCATTAAGTAGTTATAATAGGAGTAAAGTGTAAAAATATGACAATGTATGTACTTAATTTAAGATAATTTTATTAACTTTCTTTTATCTCACCAGCTAACCCGGCATCCCGAATAGAAGAATAAGTATTAAATAAAGTAAAAAATTTAAGAATCGACTGTTAGGCGATACGAAGTTCGTCGGGTCAGCTAGTTTAAGATAATTTTAAATGAGATATGAGAGAGAGCAACAAAAAGTCAAGAGGGAGCATTAAGTAGTTATAATAGGAGTAAAGTGTAAAAATATGTGTATTTAATTTTAGATAATTTTAAATGAGATATGAGAGAGAGCAACAAAAAGTCAAGAGGGAGCATTAAGTAGTTATAATAGGAGTAAAGTGTAAAAATATGTGTATTTAATTTTAGATAATTTTAAATGAGATATGAGAGAGAGCAACAAAAAGTCAAGAGGGAGCATTAAGTAGTTATAATAGGAGTAAAGTGTAAAAATAATAGTAGTTGTAAATAATAGTTGTTCATGCACGGGATTTTCATATAATGTTAGACATAGACACCTATATAAATATACATTGTAAATAAACTGGCTTTAAAAAAAAAGTAATTCAATTGAGTTTCTTGCCAGTTCTTCTCAATTGGATCTATATACAGAACTGGACGGTAGGGAAATATTAAAATTATAATGTAATCTGACGTTCATAAGCGGCTAAAATGTCCTACATGAATAAATGATTTTTGAATTTGAATTTGAATTCATCTTTGGAAGATAAAAAAAATTAAATTCTCTAATAAAAGCACAATAAAGGTTCTGTTTGGCCTTCAATAGTGTTTTATTTGTTCTTTTTTAAAACACATTCTGGTAACAATGGTAGATTCATTTTGTAAATATATGTAATAAATGTAAAGATAAATTAATTTCATATTAATGTTAAATTTTTGTCCGCAGGCCGCCATCAGATCGACAGTCGCAACATGTTCTGACGTGGAGTCAGTCAACAGTCAGTGTCAGTGCTAATGTTGTGACAGTGTGACAGTGTGACATGGCGACCAAGTGTTTGACAGTGCTGCTGATTGCTGCCTTGGGAACGCAGCAGGTCGCGGCTGAAAGAGGTCAGTTTGGTTTCTTACTTACCACAGGATATATAATTGTATACTTAACTATACAATAAATATATAGCTATACAACAGCCTCGGTGGTCTAGTGGTTTAGTACACCGCTTTACTATCCGATGGTCATGGGTTCGATTCCTTGCACGGCACAAACATTTGTATTCATGAGTATTATTGTTTGTATCGGTCTGGGTGTTTTCTATGTATAATATGTATTTATTTACAAAAAAAAAATGTATCCATGTATTTATATCAGTTGTCTAGTACCCATAACATAAGCTCTGCTTAGCTTGGGACTAGATGGCGCTGTGTGAATTGTCCTGAGATATTATTTTATAGTTTTCTTTATGAATAGCAATCAAGTTAATTACACAATATTTTTTATTATTTTTTTTATTCCATAATCAAAACAATTACTGTATTTATTTCATCTATAAACATTGTCATTTTTAATAGACACTAAAAACGTAGTAACTAACATTTTATAAATGAATATTCATTCATTTATTCATTCATAAAAATAAGCCACGCACCGATCAGTCGGTACCCGAAATCGCCGCGACATGAGCTTAAAAGCTTTCCTGGATTTTTTATAGACCCCAGCATACAATGTCATCGCGGTCACTGTAGACATTGAACATTTTGAATGAACTATGATTTATACATTTTATGTATCAATATAGATACACAGACATTGTATGGTGATTAAAAATAATAAAAAATAATAGAGTAATGCTCATGAACGTGGCGGTAGGAGCACGTTATTCATTGTGTATATTTAGATGACAGTCTGTAGAAAGATAACCACTTTTTTTTCTTTTTAATGGACTCAAAAAAAAGGAAGGCATTTTTTTTTAATGTTTGGTCCTCCATGAGTCTTTCATTTATAAACCGATTTGATAACCTGAAATTAAAAGAATTGAAACGGAAAATTTGAAAGAATATACTTTCGGATTGAACACATATTTTTAGTTTTTAGAGCCTATATATATATAATGTATAATATAGATTATTTATTTATTTAGACTCTTTGTACTAGATACAGAAAATAAGCAAAATAATCGGTTTATATAAACCGATACAAAAGATTGTCTCGGCACTAAGTGTTTCTTTCCTTCTTACCTTACGTTAGAGCAAGTAATAATAAGAAATTATTGTATTACGTTACCTTTTTTTTTCGGACTACTCTAACGCTGTTGGCCGCAGCTGGCCTTACAGATTCACCGGACGTTAAGGACATATGGAGCGGCTGAAGGCCAGCTCCTGTCTGATGGATACGACTTTAGTCTGAGGGCACCACTAGGGGTTCGAACCTCGGCTCAGACCGTCGTGATTTCGATCCCCGTTTGAATTGGATACGGGATCGATCGGAGGGGGTAATATAACCCCCTCCGAACTATAGAAAACTGTAACTTTAACTGTAAACAGTCAGGTATCTGAAACCATGCAAGGTGTCAAATACCTGAACTAAACCACAATATAATAAATTGCAATCCATTCAGTTAAACTAATTACAGGAGAATTCAAAATGCATGTACAACGTGTTTCATTAAGACACTAATGTCGTTGACCCACAAATTCAGTTGTTCTCAAAGTGCACAGTTTTCGTAGCATATCCAATTCCGTGCGAGTGATATATGAGAGTGTTTCAGGCGCCAGTGTTGCAGATATTCAATTTCACACACGTTGAACGGAAAAAATACTTTTTGAGCATCATGTGTGCATATTTAGATATATAATATGTGTGTGTGTATGTTATTTACCTATGTTTAATGAGATTCTCTTGTATTTCATGATTTGTCACTATCATTGAGTCATATTGAGTCTAAATTACATCACTTTAAAACGGCACTAATATGTATGTATGTATTTTTTTTATGTATTTTCACCAGATTAAATTTGACCAGTTTAGCATAGCACTGGTTTGCCTTGAGAAGGCTGGCTCCATTTAATATATACATAAAATCAATGTAAGTGCTACATGTATGTACATGGAGTTGCATGAGAACTAATGAATAAATATTAGAGGACTTGATAAGCGTATTAGAACCTAATGATAGTTAGAATTTTTGTCTGTATGTCAGTACATTTGTTCATGCTAATATTAGAAATGACTCAATCGATTTGGATTTTGTTTTCCTAGTGTATTGTGGCAAAATTTAGATTAAAAAAAGTGTTTGTTTTATTTTACATGTATCAACAGTAAATATGTATAATTTACCTCTTGAAGAATTAAAACAGACGAAGTCGTATGTAAGATCCAGTTAAAAACATAGTTGTTTAACAGCGAGTAAAAAGCTCTGAAACTCATCACGGTAAGCGGCAATGCGTGAAATCCCCTTTTAGTAAAAGTTCATATTACAAAAAGAGGTTTAAAACGGGGACGCGATCTACAGATGGATGTTAGGTTCAGGTGTGCAGTTTCCGTAACTCTAATTAACTTTCAGAATACTACGTACGGCCATTGATGTACAATAACCTAACTAAACAATAGAGCAACTGTTTTACGTTTTACTACTACCAATTTCATGTTTAACGAGTAACTATTTATTTTACATTGTACTTTTGTAATTGTATTTATTAAGTTAATGTATACGTATTTTTTAATTGTAATATTTGCACGTCCGTACTGAGGGCCCAACTGAAAATCAGCGCTGGAAACTACTTCCAGCATTATGCTGAGTTGTGGCCCACATTGACTCCGTTTTTTAATGTGTAAATTATTCTTGTATTTCTTATGTTATTACTGTAAAAACGAGTTAATAAACTTTCTATTCTATTCTATTCTATACTTTTGCCAGTTTAATGTTTAGGAATGACTTAACTGTTTGTTTAATATTAGCTATGCTAGTGGTTTCGTCCGCGTGAAATTTATAGCCTATATGTTATTCTGATGTATAATTTAGTTCTTTATATTATTTTTTTTTCCAAAAATTCTCATCTCCCCTCTTAAGGAGAGGAGATGGCAACATACCCCCAGCAGAAGCACAGTCGGCCGGGGTTCAGGGCCCCAGGGACAGAAACCGGCGTACAATGCGGGCAGAATCTAACAGCACCGCTTTCTGCATCTTTCCCGGGAGTGAACCGCCCCGGAATCCCAACCGTCTGAGATGTTGTTCCAGACTGGTTGGGATAAGACCGTTCACCGACATAACGATTGGAATGATTTCGGTGGACATCACCCCCTACATTTCGGTCACCTCGTGTGCCAGGTCGAGATTATTATTATTATTATAATTTTAATGTCTATTACTGTAAATTTTCATCAAAATCCGTTCAGTAGTTTTTGCGTAAAGTGTAACAAACATCCATCCCTACTCACAAACTTTCGCATTTATAATATTTTTAAGAATTTACTATTGCCAAATTAATGTTTAACAATGATTTAACTATTTATTTAATACTGTGCCGTCAGTTTAATTTGTATAAAACTGTAGCTTGTGTTATTCTGGTCTATAATCTATATTATTGTAAATTTTAATCAATATAAGTTCAGTAATGTTTCCGCGAAAGAGTAACAAGTATGCTTCCCTCCTTCTATCCATCCATACTCTCACATTTTCACGTTTAGTAAGATTTTACTATTGCGAATAGCTGCTATTTGGTAGATTGTATTCAGAATATCTGTTTAAAAGAGCAACAGGCAAGGTTCTTGCTCATTTTTTGGGCGAATTTGAATTCCAAATGAGCGGCAGAATAAAAAATGGCTATTGAAAAGTTAGTAAAGTAATTTATTTTGAATAAAATATTATTTCTATTTCTCTTGGAGTTACATTGGAAAAATGATAAGCGATTTGTTCACCTATATAATCGTATTTTAATTAAATTATGTATAATTATTATCTAGAAACTAAGTCAAATCAGTGCAAATTGTAATAATAATAAAACATAACAGAATATCTAATGATATGGTAGCGTAGTAATAGTAATATTATAATAAAAACTTAATCATAGGTAGGAATTTTTGAATAAAAATTATTATTTGATATAAAATAATCTTAACATCACAATAAGTACGTGACTTGTAGTGGTTACCTAGTATGAGTAACAGTAGCGATATCGCTACTGTGGTGATTACACCGCAATTGATTGAAATAGCATCAACTAGTTGTCTTCTCTAATCCATTACTAAATGATACATCAATGTGAACGAGTACCTGGAACTTGCGCCATATAGAAATTAACATTTCAAACTTTGAGCAACGCTGATTTAAAAGTTTCTCATAGGAAATGTTATGTATAGAAATTGTATTAATTAAATTATTATTGTATTGTGTATTTGCTAATGTATAAATTAAGTTAAAGTTAAGTAAAGGTGTTCAAAAATGTTGGTAGGCATTTTTGGACTACCCTCTTTTTTCCCTACCACAACATGGACTGTTGCAAAGAACTCTTTACCGAGCCGACACGCGTGAAACGATCCTAACCTAAAAGTAATAACATGTTATAAACCTAACGAGTGCAAGTTCCTGAGCAGTGATATAGTACTAACGTATCCTGGACTCTGTTACGAGCTGAACAAAGTGATACAGATCTATTACCCCTGGACCCTGATACGAGCTGGAGATCAGCGAAAACCTCAGCGCATCGAAAAGGTATGACTGACTTTATCCCTCACACATTTATTCTACAACATTTTTCGTAGCCAAACTTTTGTTAATAAAAGGAAAAAAGTGTGCAATTATATACAGTTAAAAAAACTTGTTCATCATCAATGTATTACCAAGATTACGACTTATAAAAACAATAAAACAAGGTATCTACTTAAAAATAAAACATGTACAACATATGTACTATCTAATAAAACAATAGAATTGACATCAATAGATTTTAACAGTTGAAGGATATTCTTAGGAGCGATGGTTTTTATCTCCTCGGGAAAGAGTGTAAACTTTCCAAAGGTTTGTACAGATATAGTATGTTGATTTATGATTTTTTTTTTTATAAATTACAATTTTCCACAGATATGTTCGTCCATGTTTTTTTTAGTTTACTTTAAT